CAGGGGGGCTGAGCTAAGCTGCTCTCAGGGTGGGTAGTGGCAGTGCCAAGAGAGGGAATGGAGGGGGCTGCAGCCACCCCAAGATTCACCATAGCCCCTCCTCCCCATGCTGCCACTGCCCGCCCCAAGCAAAGCCAGGTCCAGCCCCACCCCGCCAGGAAGAGCCTGGGGCCACCCTCAGCCTGCAGCAGCAGCCCGCCCTTGCCCCCCACACAGATCTGGGGGCATGCGCCCCCACCCCCATGCCCTCCTGGAATGCACGTAGAGGCAGGAGCCACCCCCGCCCCCCAGACAAGCCACGGCTCTGCCCTGCACCCTGCCCTGCCCCAGCTGTGCAGCGCCTGCCCCTGCCCCACTCCCTCCCTCACTGCTGGGGCTTCTCTCTGCCCCCCACCCATGCCCCTTCCCCTCACAACAGACTTACCAGCTGAAACTGGCTGCTCTGCATGCTGCTGGGCTGTACTCCTGGCTGGCTGCACTGTTACTGAGCGCATGCACAGAGCATTCTTCAGCCATGTTATCGGCCACATCAGCCAAAAAAAGCTGATTACCAATACTGTCACTTTTCCTTTTTGGTGCCGATCCAATGGGAACTATGTATCAGTGCACCTCTAGTAATTTTCTTTCATTCGTTCTGTGTACCCCCTATGATCTTTTTAAGTACCCCTAGGGGTATGCATACCCCCAGTTGACAACCCCCTGCCTTAGGTACACATACCCTTCCTCTGCTTGTTGCCTGGCTGCTGGTGGACCCCCCACTCGTTGACTGGCTGCCGGGGGTACACTGACCAAAAAAAGGTTGAAAGCCCCTGCTTTAGGGCATGGGGTTTATTATGCTATGTACATCACCTAGCATAACAGGACCTTGATCTTCGGTGAGGCTTAAGTTAAAAAAAAAAAAAAAACAACCCAAAAACCCCCAAAGATTCTCTCAAGCCTGAACAATCCATTGGGCCAAGCTCGTTCCTTCAGGCACCACGATGGGCATCATGACCTTCAACTCAGCTCAAAGGACCTGAATGACCCTTTACAAATAAATTAAGTGGGGTGGGCTTTTGCCATGGAGTTACCTTGTCACCATACCCCAGCAAGTACGTTTCAGCAATTCAGCTAATAATTATTTATACAATAACCCAAGTCTTAATCAGCTCAATAAAAGCGAAAGGACTAGGCAAGTGCCCAAAGTGGAGCCTTTCTATCATTCTCTGGTCTCATGAGAAATTGTCAATGACTTCTGTGGGATGCAGCAATCTTCCCTATTAGACTGACCCCACTTCCTCCTACTGCTGTCTGTAAAGAAGACAGACATTACTTCATTCCTATCCTTGCTGTGTGGGGGTTTGGCCAGTTGTTGGTTCTGTATCCTATAGGTCCCTTCTCCTGTAGAAATGCCACAAGCCGTCTTTCTTTCCTGAAGCCTCCCTACAACTCGCACAGTTTTATTTATATTTTGCTACTCTTATCTCCGAGATTCAGGTCCCAGGTTTCAACATGTTTATAACTCTGAATCCTATTCAACTGGTTTATAACTTCACGTAGAAATTAAAGAGATACCGTGGCTTCATTTCCCACCAAGACTTTGGATAAGAATACAGTATCTGTTAAAAATACTTTCCACCCTTGGGCTTGCAGTGTACAGGTACAGCCATTAAACAAGGATAGTCCCTATTAGAAGGGTGATTTAAATTAAACTACATGGTACAGGGTTTTTAATTTTAAAAATACCACTATATAATGCTAAACTTTGGGGAGTGAAAAAAGACCAATGTAAAAGGCAGAACTTTCATTGACATTTATGAAATGCTAGGGATTTTCTTTTCTACCAGAAAATTGTTCAAGTTAAGTTTGGGGGGGGGGGGGGGGGGGGACCGGGGGAGCCACGACAGATTTGAGTCTCAGTCCCACGTTTGAAATTTCCTAATGCAAGGAAGCATTTGTTCTTCAGTGACCGCAAGTTATGATAAGTAATAACAGTCTTCGCATGGTACCTTTTCCAATCTCATTCAAACATAGGCTATCTTTTCCAGTCTCATGATAAAGCTAAGCCTTTGAAGATTTCTGTAAATCCTTAAGCTTGATGTTAGACCATACCAAAGAGGGATATTTGCTCCCTGAGCCACATATAAAGAAAGGCTTATTAGAGTTGCGAGCAATTACAAATTTTGTTTCAAGGTACGAGCTGCATCTGATTAATTTTATATTCATTTCTTTAGCTATTTAGACTGCTGTGGTTCACCATCCTAATCATTCAGTACCTTTTTCAGCTGCTTTTGCTGAGTTCCTGCAGTCCCTCCCCACAATCTATTGAAGCTGAACTGCACAATCCTATTGTAATTATGGGCCACTGCACCCCAGTTCCCACATTCACAGTGCTTTCTTTGTACAGCCTGAGCTCCCTGCAACTGTGTGGTATTTCATAGGGCTGGGACTTTAGCTGCTCAGAAATCCTGTTCTCCAATCTTGACACTGCTGGGCAGATGGATACTAATAACTTGCTTTTCCTTTGCAGAGGTAAAATTCACCTTGGTTACTGCCTGTCTCTTTGCTAGTAGCAGCCCTGACCTCTAGATCAACAGGCCATCCTTAATTATAGTTTCAATAAAACAATCCACAGCTTAAGAACAGGAAGAAAGTAAAGCATTTACTTGAATAGCAGAGGTGCTATTAAGGGAAGCTGCAGGGAGACACTAATCAGGAAAGTTATAAAAGTCTGCAGCTAGTCCTGTATCTTGTATCTTTATGGGAAAGATAAAGAGCAGTTAACAGAAAGAAGCCATATCTGCCCTCTTCCCCTTTCAAAAACAGCAACAACAACAACAACAAAAATCAAACAAACAAAACCCGAAGACTCATTTACACAGCTGTACTTCCCTGTTCTTGGTCCATCCCTCTTTCGTGCCCTCTGGAACCATGTTTCAAAAGATGCTAATGCAGCTCTTCCTACTACTCTATAATGACTGTAGTGCCTTCTGTATCACTGCTGTTAGCTTTTGTTATAATCACTAGGGAATTAACAACTGAATCAGTGCTCTTTTCAGACCAACTGCACTTTTCAATGCGTGTCCAGAGAGGCAGGGGAATAGATTTACTGCGATTCTTTTATGAATAAAATGCAAGCACTCTGTTAGACTGCTCTGCAGAAAATGTAATTAAAACACAAACTATTTTTTTCTGGCTTAAAAGTTATTAAAATGAATTTTCCTGCCCAAATGTAAATTGGAACCTCCTTTTACATGTTGCTCAACTGGGTACAACTGAATCCAGGATACTTTTCTACATTTTTCCTGCTGCACAAATTGCCAGAAGTGAAATGGGTATCTTGACTTTTGGTTGCCCCATTTGAGAAATCCAGACCTCCTCATTTCCAAAATAATGAGGATCCATTATTGCAAACAATTAAGGCAATAAAAGCTGCTGATACATGGCACCCTGAAAAATTCAGGCACTCAAAGTTGGCAGCCACTTTTCAAAATGATGACCTTAACTTTATATTCTGGGCTGTTTCTGAGCCACACAGGCTACTGTTTGCATAGCCATGGGTCCAGAAACTCTGTCAAGGTAGATGAAATATTAGCAAATGGCTACAAATTTCCTCTCTGCTGGGAAGCATGGAACTAGCACAGTGGGGGTTGTTGGCTGTAAAGGGATAATAGGGCTAGAAGGAGTGAAACGTATGGTACTCAGTATATTCACAGAGCAAGCATCATTGCCATATGTCGAGTCTGATGACAGTTCAAGCCACTCGCTCAGCTTCCCTCCTCCAGGTGAATTCCCCACAGGGATACAGGGATTCAAGGTGCCAGAGGAGATGTCATTTTCACTTCCGTGCCAGCCACAATGAGCCAGACTCTCTCAGTGTATATGAAACACCAAATGACTTATGTAAAGCATTTGTTATAAAAATGCAAAGCAGTATGAGACGAAGATACATAAAGCTAAAGTGCAAAGTCTAATTTTAAGTTAAAGATTGTCAAGGTATTAGTAACATCACTGCAACTCCTCGAATTAAGGCAGACAATACAAGCTTACCACATTTGTTTGGACTTTGGCCATGCTTTCACACTTATAAAAGCAGAGAACCTAACCCAGGCCAAAGCATTTCCCCTGTATCTTAGATGCAAATGCAAGGCTAAAACTAGAATCTGGTTTGCTGCCATATGCTAGCAAATGGATTTAGGAGATGCTCTGTTTTTGTGAATGGCAAAACAGAGACAGTCAGTGGTGGAACAAACCAAATTGGTACCCAGGGCAAAACCTATGGGAGAGTGGAGGTGGTAGGGAGGAGAGGGTGTATGTGGCTAAGAGCAGGGGTGTGGAGAAGGCACATGGTTCCAAGGGCAAGGGGCACATGGGTTTGGAGAGCAGGAGGCAGGAAGGGGCAAAGGTTCTGAGAGCCAGGGCTGACATGGCAGGCAGCAGCCTTAAACACCGGGAACAGTCCCAGCCAAGGTGCTGCCCATGCATAGTCTGCCTGCCCTAGCTCTGTTGCTCTTAAAAGCAACAGCAGCTGGGAACTGGTTTTGAAGTTCCTGGCATGGCAAAGGGCACTGACTTTGGAGGGGATGAGGAATGATTTTAACACTCCAACTAACTTGGTGCCCAGGACAGGTGCCCCTCTTGCTCATCCCTAGTTACCCTACTGGTGACAATTCTTGTTTTGAGTCATTTTTATAAATCAATTTCTAACTCTCAAAAGCGTCATCTTCCACTGAAATTTGGCATGTGTGGCCTCTGGGCAGCAAACTAGAGAAGAGTACAATGCTGTCAACTTTCAGTGGGAGAAGAAATTTTTATGGAAGTCAGATGTTGATTAACAAAACTGACTCAAAAGCAAGAATTGTCACCATCTCTTGTTCTAGCTATGTTTCAGAGATCATACAAACTCTAGGGATGCCTTGGCACTGCTTATTCAAAAGTTCTCATCTGCTTTTAATCATCTTTCCCTGGAGTTCCCTGAAGTTCAAATTTATACAGCTGGTAAGAGACAAGTATGCACTCACCCTGGAAAAATGGGTCAATGTGTTATTACTTCGGGAAATAATCTGAAAAGCAAATTTGATGAATTAAAATAGAGATGCTGTTGAGTGCATTTAACCACAAACAAAGTCAAACATAAAAGCTTTACGAGAATTTTTAAAAGGTAAAAACAGAGCCCAAAACTATCTGGTCAAATGAACCAAAGACTTCACCAACAAGTTTGATTCTGAATTAGGTACAAGTCTTGTAAAAGGAAGCAGCAGCTTACTCTGAGAAAATCAGATGAAACATAGTTGGAGTTTATGATCAAAGCTTTCACTCAACAGTATTAATGCTTGATCCACTACCACAGATACTTATTTGTACAGACAGATAGACAGCCTACATGAATGTAACCCCCGCCCCTGGATTGTGAAGGATTAAGCAGAGAGGTGTGGGGCTACTCCAAGCCCAGGAAAACCAAACCCAGGGAGCTGGGCTCAACTACAGCTCCTCTTTCCTACTTCCCCTCCTGCTAGCCCTCAAAGCAGCTTGGGGGGCTGTAGTTCAATCCAGTGTCCCGTTTTATCATTTTCATGGGCTTTTTGTAGCCCTGCCTGCTCCCTCTCCTATCAGCTGCTGGCAACTTCCTGCCAGCTCCCAAGGCAGATTTGGAGCCATGGCTGAACCCAGCTCCCTGGGATATGATTAATTAGTTCAAGCATACAGTTTGTAATCTAGAGTATACTAATTTCTAAAGCTTACCTACATCACTTATCAAAGTTTTTAGAATTAAAAGCAAGCTCTTAGAAGGAAGAGTACTAAAGAGTTATTTCTCTGTTTAGAAAATTGAAGGTTTCTCTTTCAAATAACCATTAAGAAAATATTTACTTCTCTAAGTGATAAGAGAATGTTAAGAAATCATAACCCATCTCTGGGTCAGGGGAATGACTCTACACTGTAAAAGGCAGGCAAACTGTTTAGTTTATATTTACATAATAAACCCACTAACTTTCACAGAAAATGTGAAGTATTTGTGATTAGTTTTGACATCTATTGCAACATTCTTTTCCAATATACCTTGTAAGCAGGAACCATTTACATAACTTATTTAGTAAACACATAGTTAAAAAGTATTGTTTCATAAGAGGGATTTGACTATTAAAGCTGTGGCACATGGAAAATACCATTAAGGCTCAGACATTTATATCACCTCACTCTGTCATACGGGTCACTGGATTTCACATCACAAGTAGAAATTTTCCATGCATCATTTCCCCCTTTTGTCTATACTTTAGATAAATATGACTAAACTTCTATACAGTATAATCTAGTTGCTGTGTAGCGCTGCCAGAGCCCAAACCCTACAAGATATAATATACTATGAAGCAAAATACAACTACGCAGACACAAACCAAATGTATTTGTGATGAAAGTACTTTTTCCTTCTAAATATTAGGTATGAAAATCCATGAATAAAGCAGATGCAGGTCCTTTGATTTCTTAGGGTCAGAGCCAAATAGGTTCTTGAGGTTTGACTTTAATTTAGTCATTTGAAACACAAAGAGTCACTATCCCCTAAATTCTTATCTGCAAGGAGGACATATACAGTGTTACATTTCTATAAAGTAATTTTTGTACCTGTTTTAGCACAGCACTTGCACTTACCTGTACAGGGACATAGGTGCCCCAGAGACAGGCTTAGATGTGCTGTAGGAGGATTCAACTCTGAGAGAGGGCATTTCAAATCCTATTGGAGCTCCCTAGTCAGATATGACAGTACATCTCAGAGCCACTCCTGCCCACTTCGAATTTTGCCACCAGTTTGCACCCTTGCTGTAGGTAGACTTACTCTAAAGCAGAGCTGTCCAACTGGCAGCCTGAAAGCTGCATACAGGCCATGTGTAGATGAAACAAGAGGCGTGTGTGCACAACACTTTAAAGCAGGCTAAATGCTTTTGCACTACTTTAACGGTGTCAATGTTTCCACATGTTGGCAGCGTATTGTGCATTAATTCTAGCCGCTGTAGCAAATTCAGCAGCGTAACACGCCTTAAATGACTTGGGGTGCAGCAAACTAAAACTCCAAGGAGTTTTAGTTTGCTGCCTCTACAGCCACGGAGCGAAGCACCAGGCTCCATGCAGCTCAGGGGCTCTGCAGGAAGCTCTGCAGGCAGCCTGGCAGCAGCCCAGATTTTCCCCCCTCCCTCCCAGAGCCTGCCTGCCTGCCTGCTTGAGCTGCGTGGGAGCCCAGTGCTTCCATCTACAGCTGCAGAGCCCAGCTGCAGCCTGAGCTGGATGCCTGCAGGCAGATGTCACCTGGGGGGGCCCACCACTGCTGTAGAGGGAAGCACCAGCTCCCCACTTCCCCCCACAGCTCAGGGACCACTCTGTCTGCCAGCAGCTCGCCCTGCCCTCCCTGCCGCCAGAGAGGCAAGTAAGTGTGTGCAGGTGTGTACACGACACAGGGGTTTAAAGGGCCCTAAACTGAAGTGATGTTTTTTAAAAAAAATCCACAACTTCAATTTAGGGTCCCCATTTCATCTACACATGCCCTAGTCTCCAGACTCCCAGCCAGTCACTGTTCCCCACATTGCTTTGGCTGCAGCAGCAACTGGGGGCTCCCCCTCCCTCAGGTTCCTTCTTCCTGCCCCTGCCCCAGGGGGCAGGTTGGTGCAGCACACAGTGTAGCACAGCATGGCAAAGCCTGCAGTGCTGGGGGGTCAGCAGCTTGGTGTACCTGACTCGTGCAGCACAGCAAAGCCAGGATAAATCAGGTAAGGGTAAATCAGGGTGCCTGGGCATGAGGACATAGGGTGTAGCAGCAGCGATGTCCAGATGCACAGTGCGGGGGGGGGGTGGACCCAGACAGTGCAGTGATGGTGGGAGGGGTGCACCTTGCACCCAGTGCAGTGGAGGGACATGGGGAGGAACAGTAGGGTGGGGACCTGGCCACAGGGTACAGTGGGAAGGCATGTGGCTCAGGGGAACAGAAGGCATACAACCCATGGTGGTGTGGCCCCTGCTAGTGTAGCCCTCAGCCAATTAGAAGTGGACAGCCCTGCTCTGGAACAAATGTAGCCCACTGATAGCATTTGAGGAAAGGAGGGAGGGAGATAATTCTTTCTTATGTATCCAAAACATTAAAAGACTTTGGTAATTTTACTTCCAAGTCAGCATTGCGCCTAAAAGCCTCAAGAAGTTTGTGGACAACTTACTCTATACCTTAAGATTTACCTTCAGCTAAAAAAAAAAAAACCCCAAACATGTAAAGGCTCCAAGTTACAAATCCTGAAATCCTGTTCCTGCCTTTGTTTCAAGGTAATTTGCATCATCACAGATCCTCACAGGACATGAGAGGCTCCATACCAACTATGAACTGACTGCCCAGAGGAGTTTTCCATCTATTGACTCCTCTGTAAAAATCCGCTGAAATATGAACTTTCATTTCTACCCAGGAGAACTTTTGCAATCTTTTCTCCAATGCCTGATGAAGGGAATTTGTGCTGAAAGCTTTCAATTAAAGGGTTTTTTTTGCAAAAAGCTTTTTGGTCTAATAAAAGATATCATCTCTACTACAAGTCCTGATTGCCAAGTTACAAAGATACTTGCAGTCATCCCTGGACTACTTCCCACTATAATTAAAAGTCATTTGTAAAGGTCTGAGAGAAGCAGCAACAACACTGTGCTAGATGCTGTACACACGTCTCAAAGACTGCTTCTCCCTAATAACCAGAAAGAAAGAATTATAACTAGCAGGCAAGCATTTATTCACTTCAAAAACAAGGTTCTCCCCCCACCCTTTTTAAATCATTACTTTAAAAGTTTATTGTTAGACACCACTTGTGCCAATGGGAATCTTACTTATTGTCAACCTCAGCGAATCAAAAGGTAAGAAGTAATGGCAAAAATATACCACACAGAACCCCTAAACTATACTACCTTGCTCTGTAGTGCCCTTACAGCATCCACCCTGTATGTATTATCGTAAGAAAGAATTAAAGGCACATCATTGATTAAACAAAGTTCCCTTAACAAAAAAAACCACAAACAAAAAACCCACATTTTCAGCAAAATGTTAATGGAGGATAACGGGGGGAAAATATTTTGTAGTCAAGATGCATGGTATATAATTATTCAAAGTATTAGAGAACTTGCTGTACTAGATTTTTCTGACAACAATGTTTATGACCAGAGATTTGTGTTGCTAGGCACAAAGAATTTTCCCAGATATAACAAGGTGTATTTTAAAAGGAAAACTTCTATTGAATTTGCTTTTAAGAGTCACCTTCACTGCATATAAATACTTTGTACACTTCCCAAAAGATATAAAATATGAACAGCGGCACACCTTTTGTTTGTTTCTTTGTTTGGTCATTTTGTTTGACTGGTAGTATCTACATATCAAATATAATACCTAGGTAGTGTGAAGATAAAATA